CAAAGCCCAACACCAGCCTTTATCCATCAATGGCACTGTGGTTGAAACAACACAAAGCTTCAATTTCCTGGGACTGCACATCTCCAACAACCTAACATGGTCACTAAACACCTCCTCCTTAGTAAAGAAGGCCCAACAGTGCCTATATTTTCTGAGAAGGCTGAAGAAAGCAGGCATGACCCCTCTATCCTCACAACTTTCTACAGATGTGTCATTGAGAGTGTACTAACCAGCTATATCACAGTTTGGTATGGAAATTGCTCAGCATCTGACAGGAAAGCCCTACAACGGATAGTGAAGATGCCACAGCACATCACCATCGAATATATCTACAGCACCAGGTGTGTGAAGAGGGCAACCTCCATCATGAAGGATCCTTCTCACCCTTCCCACGCCTTGTTCATGCCTCTCCCGTCTGGAAGGAGACTGAGAAGCATTCAGACCAGAACTTCCAGACTCAAAAACAGTTTCTTTTACTGTACATGTACTCAATACTTGGTAGGGGCTCCTTTTGCTTTAATTACTGCCTCAATTCGAGAGCTGTTATTTCTTGCTCAACTGGTTAATAAAAACAAGAATATAATCAAAGGAAAATTTGGAGTAGGGATCACCTCCGAAACCCAAGGTGATACCTTTCTAAAAGATCATCATCGAATGTTTCTAAAATGTTTACATTCCGAGGCAGATTGCGGGCAACAGCTATTTTAGGATTGTTGTGGCTTGGTCTTAGTGACTTAGGAGTCCACTTCACTACTCCTAACGTTTCACAGATTTAGGCTAAAACGCATATTACTAATCAAAAATTAAGTTTTGATATATTTACGGTAGGAAATTTACAAAATATCTTCATGGAACATGATCTTTACTTAATTTCCTAATAATTTTTGGCATAAAAGAAAAATGTATAATTTTGACCCATACAATGTATTGTTGGCTATTGCTACAAATATACCTGTGCTACTTATGACTGCTTTTGTGCTCCAGGGTCACATATATAGGTTTTTTTTAGTTTTGCAAAGGTTGGGCGAAAGCACATTTGTCCAGTGCACCTACTGTATGCTGGTAACTGTTATCAGCAACATTATCATTCATCAGCAATAATTTATTTCTGTATTCAACTGCCTAGACACTTACTACTGAAGAATAACCTGAAGAATTGAATGCTGAATTAACTGATGTATTTGCACATAAAGTAAATGGGGTGCAGACCAAAAAATGTTCTGATAAGTCAAGAAAGGGGAGTTTTTGTGTAAACTCTCAATGGAACTCAGCATACATCTATGAGCGTAATCCCTCAAGATCTTATCCATCTTTTGACTCAAATTATTTGCATAAAACTAATCCAGTGTGATACAGATACTGGAACACCTCCCTCAGGGAACATCCCTACACTTTCATCCATACAGTGTTCACAATGAACTTTAATGACTTTTGAGTTTTCAGGAGCTTTTCGCCTCCTTCCCCAGAGGCGTTACAAATAAAAGCTGAGTAACATTAATCAAAGCAGTACAGTAAATACAGCGACTGCAGCTCTGCTCGAGTTTACTGTTGTGATAAAGTTTCTTATTGACAGTTAGCAACATTAGTTTGGGCAGCTGCAGAAGCTCAAGACGTCCTATTCGCTGTACAGTCTTTAGGAGAATTCTTGAAGGATTTTAGCACAGAGATTATAATAGATGAGTGATGCCATTCAAGATCTACCAACAGAAATTGCAGGTAAGTTATGCAGGAATCAAATTTGTTTTGCTTGAAGTATTTTGGTGGATGAGGAACCATACAATATGCAATGCTATCCTGTGAGCATCTAATGCAGTGCTTCTCAACCACGTTTCTATGATGCACCTGATGAAGTTTCACTGCTAATCTAATTCATAGTATGGCCTTGGTGTAATCACAGATTTTTGTGTTTTTACATAAATTTGAATGACTTTAGATGCAATTTTATTTGAATACATAAGGGTTTTTAAAATAATTATGAGAATATTATTATCTGTTTATTTATTTGAATGACTCTAAATGTTATTTTATGCATCACATTTAAGTTTGTCAAAGATGTGAGGAGAGAATTCAATTGAGTTTTAAGTGCACCACTAACACACCAAACTAGCAGCGTTCCTCTGAATCCGATGGAGTGAGAGGTTTGTTAGATGTGGCAACTGGAGCTCGTTCTTTAATTACAGAGACACATGTAGGAGAGAGCAGATGAACAGAGAAGAGATGCCCCAGCGGCTGAACTCAAGATCAGCAGATGAGAGGATGGAATGAGCAGCTATAGGGAGATGTGGAGGGCAGATGGAGATCATCGAGTTAAAGATCGAGTTAATATCATCCAGCTCGATCAGACAGACAGGAGTGAGTTAGAAATACACATTCTGCTGACATTCCTCCTGTGTGTGTATTTTAAATTGATTGTTTTGAACTAATTTACCTTCATTAATGAAGCATCTTATGTGTATAGGTTATGCTGTTAACAAAAGCCTGAAGACAAGCATCAAAGGTATAAAAGAGCCTAACAGTGCAGGGGGAGAGATGTGTGCACCAATAGTTAAGAGCACATCTTGCACATCTCACACTTGCAGTTTTCATGCAATTTAATTATATTTTATTTGCATTTGATATGCAAAATCCACACATCACCTTTCAATTTTTTGCACTTGCTATCCAATATTTAATTTGGAAAAATTAAATTTTTACCTATGCAGCCCTGCTCAAAAATAAATAATGTCTTTATTCACTAACCAATCTGGACTGCGGGTGTCAAGCTCTAAAAAGTACAAATAGATTAAATAAGCCAATCTCACTGTAAATGAATTTTAATCTGAACAGCTTTCAGAGGAACTTCTTATCTGATCTCACTTCATGCACTGTGTGAATTGGGACTGACTGAAATAATTTCACTGTACAAATGCTGCAAAGCAGAGTCACATTGTTAAATCAGAAAATGTGGCAGTCTCTTCCAAGGAAGAATTTTGCATCTTTAATATTAAAGTTAAAATTGGGCAGGGCTTAGGCTCAGGAAGAATGTGCACTGGCAGAATGTGAGGAGGCGATCAGTTGCACTGATTTAAAACTCTGTTGGTCAGTTGGTTTGTCTCAGTGGGAGTAAAAATATCCCAGCATGCTCTGCACACACATTATCTACCAATGAAAGTCAATGGCAGATTTCAAATGCAAAATTAGACATTGATATGTAAACAGCACAACAAATGGACGCATGAAATATTCCTATAGAAAGGTGACGGGCTGCATGCCCAGTTATTTGTTTAATCCATGCGCTTTCATAGAACATCAATAAGAAGTCTCAGTCATCATTTATTTTAGTGGTTGCAAATATAACCTGAGAATATTACCACCATTGAACATCCTGCTTTTGTGGGAATGATGAAGAAACACGCACATACACCAATACTAGAGAAATACAAAGACTAGCTTAAGACAAAAAAAAAAAAGGTCAACACCAAACCTTTGTCAATCAAATCAAATGCTTAGAGTTAACATGAAATCTAAATTTACTAAATTATGTGAAACATTCCTCATTTCAGTTCCTCATGGATGAAATCACAAAATGCGTCAGATCATGAAGATAAAAGAGACATGAATGCTGTTTCATGTAGACTTTAAAGTGACTCTGCGGTAACGTTTTTCTCTCTTCCAGGACTTTGCAACTTTAACACGGTGTTCTGAGACACTTCAGTTTCGCAGGATTCTGTTAAAGTGAATCTCTGTCAGCTTCTTCCATTACATGTCAGGTAAGCAAATGCATGAGCAGTAACAGGCTTGTTAGGGCAGTGTGTTTTCTTCATCTGTTGGAAGTTATTCACACAGCAGTACATTCATTCTGTTAATTAATAACTAACATCGAACATGATAATATTAAACATCATCTGCAACAGTAGCATACTACAATAGTTTTGTCTTTTTTCATTGAACACTTAATTAATTGAAAGCTAAGGCAGATTGGGCAAGGTGTTAAAAGGGCTTTTTCAGATAAATGGTGTTGGCAAAAAGGAACTACATTTGCAATTAGATAGCGGCTAATTGGAGAATAAAATGAAGAGAGGAGAATCACTGGTCATTTTCCCTTTGTAACGCTGTTTAATTAAAAACCCTCGTCAGAATTGTAATTAGGACATGAGACAGTCTAATCTTCAGTCTAATCAGTACACTTGTGTGTCTGACCTGAATAAAACATGCTGTAACAAACACACAAAGCGCATATGTACACAACTCTTTATCAAAGCATCACATTAAATGCTTTTTCTACTAAAAGGACATTTGTTGCTTTAGTGGGTTTTTTTGTTCTTTTTAAAATTACATTTTATTTATCTTTTATCATATTGCATGATTAGAAAATAAATACTCAAATGAATCACAATAGTTTTTTTTTCTTTTGAACCAAATGTTATGATATGTATAAATCTCATAATGTGTTTGATTAATGATGAAACTTTCCATTTATGAGGCAGGCTCTTTGATCTTCTCAAAATAACAGTGTCTATTACGCTTTTACAACACCATTTCTGATCAAACTGTGTTTGAAATGGTTTACTATCATACTCCATGCTGGACATACCTGGGCTGCGTTTCCCAAAAGCATCGTAAGCTTAAGTACATCGTAGACCCATTAAAACCGATCAAATTAAGCTTACGATGCTTTTGGGATACGCAGCCCTGATCTCTTGAGAAAATGTAACTATTTAACAAGTTATGAGTTTATGGTGTCCTGTATGGTTTTTAAAGCAGTGCACCAGTGTGACACAATCATTTTTTAAAAATAACTGTAGTTTGCTGAATCATTTTCGCTAGACCTGTGTCTCGAAGCATTCCCAACTCTTCACTAGTCACTATCCTGAGACGAGACAAATACCAAGTCGAGAGCTTGCAGAAATCATCAGTCACTGGTGAAACTTCTACTGGTTTCTGCACAATCAGATGGTGTATTGCACATCTACTAGCAGGACCAACCTGGACCAAAGTAACCAGCCAAACCTGGACCCCCGATGAGCATGACCATTTAAAAAATTTTGGAGTTTGTCCAATGACATACTTAGAAAGCTGGCATAGTATGCAACGTAAATGTATATGTTAGGAAGGAAGTTTAGCATTATGCAATTACTGACTACCTTCATTCCATTATGCTCCACTTGTATTTCTCTCGGATGAAAATAATGAAGCTAGCAATATGTTGTAAAAGCTTACATCCACATTGTTTCATCAGAGATGTGTGTTTCTTTGTGCAGGTAGTCTCCAGATTCCGGGTCACGTATGTTCACACCTGGTGACCTCGGGCAGTGGCGTTTGCTCCTGCAGCGCCCCCTGTGGAGGAGTCTGACTGGATCGACCCGACGCCACAGAGTTCTTCTGTAATTCCACTCCAAACCCAGGCGGGGCGCTCTGCAACTGTCTCCTGTACTGCACAAAGCTGCACGTCTTCAGAACGATGGCGAGGATGTTCTTGGCCATGAGTATCCCAGACACTCTGTTGTCCTTATAGAGGAGCATATTCCCTCCACGGATGAAGAGAGTGACGATGTTAATAGTCACCAAACTCAGAATGGGGTAGAGCATCATCTTGTGAGGACTGATGTTGATGCCTTGCATGCTGATCTCACTCAGAGACACGCAAGGCAGCACTAAAAGAAGAATATAACAGTAGAAAAACATCAGTCCCTCAGCCCAGAGCGGAAGCCCTTTCTTCTGCGGCTCCCACAGGTTGGCCTGGATGTCCAGAACATCCAGCAGATCCACCACCACCCAGAACAAACGGTTTCTGATCTCCTCCTTCTTCTTGAAAGCCTTCACGTACTCCATGTGGTCGATAGCAACCAGAATCACGAACAGCACGGGAATACTGATGGACAGCAGGAGTGTCAGAGCTTTCCGAGCCAAGGCATCCAGGCTTTTACGGTCAGCCTTGTAGTTCTGGTA